TCTCAAATTCCTTTCTTTCTTCATCTGAACTTCCCTTTTCATTTTCAGAAGCACTGTCAGCCATTTCTTCTTCTCTGTAAGCTCTTTGGCAACTGTTGCATATTTCTTAGCACTATTTTTCTTTTCAAGAACAAACACTCTCTTCTCTTCATCTAGTGCTTTCTTCTTCTAAACAACACTGTCAAACAATTCCAAATTTTTGCTCAGACATTCTTCTTTAAATTCTTTCTTCTCTTTATCAAACTTGGCACGTTCCAAGACGATAACTTGTTCAAAATCAGAAATTTGCTTTGAAAGCATTTTGGCATTCAGCTCCAAATTGTTAATCTTGCTTTCAAAAGATTTTCGTTCAGTATCAAATCTTTTTTCAGCTTCTATCATCTTTTCCTTCTCTTTTTCCAAAACGTTCCTTTCAGCAACCAAACTCTTTTCAATTTCTAATACCTTATCTTTCTCTTGTTCCAGTAATTTTCTTTCATTAACAACTCTCTTATCAGCTTCATGTAGTTTCTCTGTTAGCTCCTCAACCTCTTTATTCTTATTTCCTTGAGAGTTCTTTTCATTATTCAGTTCATTTTAAACTTTTCGGAGTTTATTAACCAAATCTTGCTTTATTTTGTTTGAACTTCTTATTTCKTCATCTAACTCTTTTCTTTCAGAATCCAAAGTGTTTTGAAGATCTTTAATCCTATACATGAAATTGTCTTCAATACGTTCTCTAGTTTCCTTATTCTCCCTTCTTAAATCTTCAACAAGTTTTTCGTTAGCATGATTTTCATAAAACATATTCACATATTTTTCTTTATAATTCTGCATACTTTTCTCCAATTCACAAATCTTTTCTTTCAAATGCTTATTTTCGTTCTCAAAGAATGATGCCATTTAAAATTCACGATTGATCAAAAAGAATCTATGCAGTAAATGAAATCAATTAAAGAAATCACATTCCAAAAATATCTCACAAAAAATCTCACTCAGATAAAAAAATTAGTCTTTGCAAAAATTCCAGAAATCAAGAATTATTCAGTTTGAAAATTCAGACAAAACCAGTCAACAATAACCATTCACAATCAAAACAGTCAAAAACTGCTAGATCTCCGGGTGAAGGGTTGTGCAAGGACAAGTAGAATCCGGATATACTTTTATACAGACCGAGAATGGTAGCAATTCGGGTGAGGTAGTGTCCGGGAAAAGTGAAATCCGGACGACCTGTTGTGCGAGGAATGCTTGAGCTCGGACAGTTCTATGTCCGAGGATGGTGATCTAAATGACTAATCCGGATAAACCCGCTTCCGGGAATGACTAAAATTTGGCTAAGTCTTTGGCCGTGGATGGTCAAATCCGGACAGGGAGATGTGCGACAAATAAGAACTCGGCTGTGCCTTTGACCGAGTATGTCCTATGTACGGATGAAAGGGTGTCCGGATATGGTTGAATCTGGTCAAGTCTATGGCCAAGAAAAGGTGAATCCGGGTAAAGGAGTGTCCGAGTATGGCTTGAATCCTACTGGAAGAGCGTCCGGGTATGGATGTGATCAAAAGAAGACTACGACTAAGTCAAAATCTAAGACAATATCCAAATTAAACGCACCACAAACACAAAATTTTCAACTTTTTCACCAAAAATGGATCAAAATCCAGATTTTTATGAGTTTTCTTAACAAGAACACAAAATTTTCAGAAATCACAAATTTTATTAAAACTTCAAAACGAATGATCAAATCACGAAATCTTGTGAATAACAAATATTCAGAATCCAAAAACGCACACAATGATCATCTTTTTAACATAAAAACACCAGAAGATGAAAGATTTGAGTAGAGATTTATGAAAAAAAAAGATAAGAACACTTAAGAACATGTTATGAATATTCAAGAAAAATATGACGAAAATCCAAAAAATAAATGCAACTTTTGATGATTTCTTCAAAACAATCTCACTGCGTCAAGCTCTGAAACCAATTGATAGTCCTAATCTTCAATCAATCTTCAAGAACATCAAGATAAATGACATTCTTCATGATATGGGTTTAGAGAGAAAAAGTCAAACAGTCAATGTGTATATTATTCCTCTAAAACTCAATATTACAATTAAGATCCTAACTTCTAAAACTCCCTTACAAGACCTATTTATAGGTCAACACAAACTACACAAGTCAAAGTCAAACCCATGACTTACAAAGTCAAACTAACAAGAAATACAAATAAAACTTTCAAGGATGAATACAATTAACTCTAAAATTCAATCCTAATAAACTTGTCTAGTTCTGTTGTATCAAGGCCTAATCGTACCAAACACCAGACAAACACTTGTTTTATCCAGTCATATCCCGTCTAGTCGTGTCCATTCTTGTCTATCCAATCATGTCTGCCTACCAAATGTAACGTTAAGAAAGTTTTTGGAGCAAATGAGAAGAGAACCTTGGAGATTGAAGGTTTAAGGTGAATGGTCTCAACTCTCAAGATTGTTGAAGAAAAGTTTTTGGATGTTTTGAGTTATAATTATGGGGTTTTGTAAAATTGAAGCTTGTAACCATATTTGTTGCATTTCTTGGCTTGGTTATGACCTAGTTTCTAGAGATGTTTGCTTGTAATCTCAAGTCTACACTTTGGAAGCTAAAGATTTGAGTTTGGAATCTAGGTTTAACCTAACTTAGCGAGGTGAATTTAAGTTGCTTTATGAAAATCATGTACATACCAAAAATACACATTTTGATGTTTCCTTGATATTTATCAAATGTATTGATTATTTGATAGAGTTCGCATCTTTGGTACATTTGATTTTATAAATCTTGGAAAATGCATACTTCTGCAATTTTTGGATATTTTGATATATAAATCATAAGAATGTGGCATTTTAACGATTTATTGTATTAATGGAGATCATTTGATGGTAATACACTTTTATTGTATTTGATTTTGTAAATTGTTTAGAAAATGCATATTGTTGTGTTATGAGACATTTTAGAAGTATAAATTGTATGATTTCATTTAGGTATGGTTTATCCATTTTAGACATTTACATTCGTTATGCTGCTGAAATTTCTACATATATAACCTCACTCGTTTTTGTTTTGGTGAACCATAGGAGCTATTTCAATCGTTTAGGGATGAGTCACAGTCTAGTACCGACATCCCTCCCCCTGATGAGGCATCTCTTTGGGAGCAGAGGGTCGGAGGACGAAATGATTGTCTTTTTGGTTTCGGGACCTCCCAAGATCCCTCTTATGCTATGACTAGTAAATGTAGCAGTAACACCGGGAGATCATACGATTCAACAGTGGAGGTATGTTGGTCATATTGCTATATACTTTCTCATTATTTCATTGCGAACAAATTACTTATTTTGTCAAATATTGAATATTTACAAGTGGCGGAGTTGAGAAAGAAGTTGACAAGAGGAGGCACGAATGCGGGAGGAACGCCATCAGGCCGAGATGGAGGCCAAACGGAAGAGTAGGACAGATCTGGACGCCGAACAGGCCAAACACGCTTCCCGTTAGCCGAACATGTCGCCTTATCGGAGCATTTTGCTGCGTTATGCGACAGTCAGGAAACGTTCCCCCCCTCCCGGTAGTTAGATTGTATGAATTTGAACATTAAGTTGTATGAATTGGATATTTTAAATTGTATGAATTGGATATTTTAATTTGTATGAATTGGATATTTTAATATGTATGAATTGGTAGGTTTTAAATTGTTCACACTTTTGGTTTGTTATTTTATGGCCAGGTTTTGTATATATAAATATAGGAATTATGTAATTATAAATTAGTTATTTTTAAATTAATAAAACTTAGCGACGGATTAGCGATGGATAAAAGTTTTTGGTCCCTCGCTAATCCGTTGCTGAAAATTCCCTCGTTAATCTGTAGCTGAAAAGACCCATCGCTAACCCGTCGCTGAAAGTTTTCCTTGCTAATCCATCGCTGAAAGTTTCCCTCGTTAATCGCTGAAAGTTTTCCTCGCTAATCCGTTGTTGAAAGTTTCCATCGCAAATCCGTCGCTGAAATTTTTTGTCGTTGATTTGTCGCTAAATTCCGTCACTGATGGCATTACTTACGAGTTTTTGACCGACATACGATCACCGACAAATCAGCGACGAATGAGGCCTTTAGCGACGGATTTGCAAAGGTTTTTCTGTGGCTGATACTCCTCATTTTGTAGTGTCATTTAACCCAAAAAAAGAACTACTTGTTGCCGGATATGAATGTTTAAAGTAAAAGAAACCTAAATCAGTTTTATCGTTCTCATTCATAGATATTGCTTCCTCTCGCCACTCCTCATCGTCCCTTCTTCGTATATACCACTCATTGTCGTTGTTTGTCCTTGCCATCAATCTCCTATTTTTTATATGTTTTATTTTTTCTCCCAATTCTCCATTCCTACAACAATTTAATAGGGTACGTACAGGAGAATTGAAAAACAAAAAAAAAACGATAAAAAAGAGGGAGATCGATGTCAAGGGCCAACAACAGTGATGGATGATAATAAAAGTAGACGATAATGGGCAACAAGGGGTAGGGAAGGGAGCAATGGCAGTAGTTACAAAGGGTTTGAATGACGTAAGGTTTATGAATAATAAAACTAATTTAAACTTTTTTTTACCTTAAATCAGTTACAAGTAATATTTCTAGGTTAAAATAATGTATGTAACCAATTTCTAAAAAAATGATGATTTATTTATAAAAAAATTACTCAAGTACTTAATCATATAAAACAAAACATTAATCAGTTTATTCCTTTAAAAATACAGTTTAGGATTTAATCAACCAAAAATATGAAAGTTCATTGGATTTTATTTACAAGAACTACATTAAATAAATAATAAAATATTATTTTATTTTAATAATTTACTTACTTATTTCCACATTTACATTTGTCACACGTAAATCATACATATATAATTTACCTAATTTTTTCCAGATTTACAATTGTCCGGATCATATTAATGATTTCTGTGAGAACCATTTTAATAAACACGTAATATTACAACAATTGATCATTGTATATGTATCCAAATGCCTTCGCTGGGAATATCTTGATGTACCACAAATAATATGTAATTCCCTTTCGGAGCAACGTTACCGGAAGGCGGCATTGTCACGGTGACTTGGTAGTTTGAACTTTTCCGAACGATGGTGGGGATGCCACTGTGAAGAACCAACAATCTTTGATTCATGGAAAACGAGTGCGTGTTGAACGAGGGTGCCACCATCGTCACCAAGACTGAACTTGTATTCAAATTTTTTGAAACTGCAAATTTTATAACCATCTGTTTTCCGTACATGGTAGTAGCACCATTGACAGGTGAGATTATCACTGGACGTAACCCTGATAAGGTTGAATCCAAATAAGAAGGCGAAAACTCCTCCAGACTTAATTCGGTAGGATAAAATACGTTTGTGAATTCGTATTTATCGTGCGGGTTACTTCCACCAACCAAAACCCGACCATCTCGAAGCAAAATCGCCGTTGAATGGTACATTCGAGGTATGGTGGTTGGAGCTTGCATCACAAATCGAGATCCAACTGGGTTACCGGGTTGGTAAATTAGCGGGTTTAGAACCGGGTTACGCCCACACTCCCACCCGGCAGTCCCAGCGGACCCACCATTAATTATCAAAACGTTGCCATTTGGGAGCAACAACATATCACCCATGACCCGAGCCATAGGCATAGTCTCCATGACCCATCGTGGATCCGGGTCGGATATCGTGATCCGACCACATGTGTCCAAAGCTCCATCAAATATCCCCTTGATTGCATGACGGAATGCTGATCCGGGTGCACCACCGCAAACCAAAACCTCAACCGTAGCTACAGTCCCTTGTACGATTCGCATCGGAAGTAGCACGGCGGAGCCGGTGCTTGGATAGTTTCTCGGCTCATCGCCGGGGATCGTCGGAAAAGTTCTGACAACTTGGTTTTTAACGTAGTCGAATAAAATAGCACGATTATTCGCGAAAATGAACAAGTTTCCGTCAGGAATAAGAAACACAAATGGGTATAAATTGTTTTCAATGCGGGGATCATTAGTCTGAACCAGAAATGGGAAATCGATAGCCTTCTGGGTGTCCGGCGTCTTTGGGAAGAACTCATAGGTAAATGCCCTACGGCCGCCGATGATAATTTGCCGGCCGTCGGGTAAGAAATGGTTGGTGGCATACCATCTTTCTTGAACCAACCCATTTTGTATCTCTTGCCAATCGCATGTATCACACGACTTATAAGTTCTGACAACAAGAGCACCGTCAGCGTTGCCACCGGTCTGGGTCAAGCTTCCGTCGGGCATTAAACTCCCTGAGGAACACCAAAAGTTGGAAAGGACCATGAGAGGACGAACGGAGTTGGATGCGACGTCGTACTCGACGGAGTGGGCAGAGCAGTCCTTTGATTTCGGTCGGCATTTGCCCTTGGGAAGTGAGATATTGGAGGTTCCGAAGTCTGTGCGGTCGTATATTACGACACGATCGTTAGGGAGGAGCTGCATGTGCATGGCGGAGATGCCAATGTTTGGGAGGAGCATGGACCAAGTTCCACCGTCGGCGGGACACGGCGGAGCACGGAGGAGGAAGACTATGATCAAATGGAGGACATGGAGGGAAGAAGCTGGCGTGATCATGGTGTTTTTGGGTTTTAACTGTCGGGTGGGATGTGATGGTGGTGGTTGATGTGGCCGTCAGCAAGATTTAAATGTAGAAAGGAAATAGATGACGCAGTTAAATTGAATACGTATTTTCCATTCGTCTTATAAAAAATGTTTCCATTTTAAGAAATATAATTTTGACACTTAACTTTATTTGAAATTTACAAAATCGTAAATTATGTATACATATTTTGGTAAAAAAGTAACATAGGGGAAGGTTTAAATAAAACATTATTCATACATTCATTTTTCCTTAGATTTCCCCCTTTTTTTTTTCACTACAATAAAATCGGATTTATATAACATTCTCAAATTCTAAGCGTCTTAATAGGCCTCTTTATAAAACTTATTTTATATGACCAAAAAAATAAAGCGTCCTATCTAAAGGTGTTGTAATAAGTTTATATAATATTTTTCAACGTCGTAATAAGTTTTTTTAGGACACTTTTAATATAAAGTGTCTCATTAGCAAATTTATAGGACACTATTTGAAAGATTGTCCTATAAGAACAAATGTCCTATAAAAAATTGAGTTTACAGGACACTTTCTCAAAAGTGTCTTATAAAGTTGCTAATGCGACACTTTGTATTAAAAATGTCCTAAAAAACTTGTTACAACGTCCAAAAGCGTCATATAAACTTATTACAACATCTTTAGATAGGATGTTTTATATCATCGATAAACTTTATATGAAAATTAATGTAAATTATTGACATGATTAAAAGATAAATGTAATTAATATAATAAGAAATTGTTAATTCAAACATGTGAGTATGCAAGAGTTTTGTCATACATAGATCTTAATATGAATCATTCAACAAAACTCGTACACGTTTTTAATTCTAATTTGACAACAATTCTATCATGCTACTAAATCTTAATTACGAAGAAAACCAATATTAATCCTTTCAAACATCTGATGTTTGTGACATAATTAAAAAAGAAAAATCTATCGAAGGTAGAGAGCGGAATTGAATTCATAAATTTATCTTTGATTTATTTTAAGAGTGAATTACATGTTTGGTCCTTGTGGTTTATACTTTTCATTGAATTAGGACCCAAAAACAATTATTATGGATTTGGTACCAATAAGTTTGTAATTTTTCACTTATTGAGTCTCTCCCTTTTAACGGAATAAAAAGGATTCCATTAACCTAGTTAAATCCAAAAGCATTATCGTTATACATACACGAAATGAGGGAACATCTAAGTCTCCCTGCTACTGACCTCCATCCCCAAGCACTCCGCCACCACCTACAACTTCCCTCATTTCCCTCCTATCACCACCGATCCACCTCCGTCATCTCCTTCCCTCATTTCCCCCCATCACCACCAATCCACCTCCATCATCTCCTTTTTCGATCTAAAAATCCGAACATCAAGATTTCCAACTACAAAAAGGACACAATCATTAAGAAGATTATTCTAGGGTTTTTATGATACCCCAAAATGTGGTAAATAGATAAATATGAAAAAAAAAGAAAAAAAATAAAATTGGTTACTGGATCAAGAATGTGAAGAAAAACATGAAAAAAGGGTCACGTCATTTAAGGAAAGTGAGAAAGTGAAGAGAAGAGTTTATGTTCATTCGAACGAAAAATGAAAGAAAATGTCAAATCAAGGGTAAAAAGTGTAATATTGGGCAAAACATTGAAGGTAGGGGACCGAATGTCATTACCTGATAGTTTAAGGGCAATGTCAGACATCAGGTTCAAACCAGAGGGACCTGTTAGGTAAATAGGATAGATCTAAAACTTGAAAGCAACATGTCGATGGTCGATCTTTGAGTAGGGATGACAAAAAACCCCAAGATCGATGGTAAAAACCGAAAATAAAAATTTTCAGGGTGGGTTTGGGGACTTCTTATTGGGGATGAGGTGGGGATCGGGGACATAGGTGGGATTTTACCGAGGATGGGGATAGTGATCACCAACCCATTCAGCCCGATATGTGTATGTGTGTGTGTGTGTGTGTGTGTGTGTATATATATATATATATACTATCATCAAAAGAACAATATTAAAATGGAGATTTTAAAGACTTTTATCCACTTCACCTCAACACTTCAAATCAACCTCACAAAAAAATCTAGTTTATTTGTCTAATTATGAAACCGTAATGTTAGTTCAATGATATTTGAACTTCTATTTACTTTTATATTGTAATCTTTGACATTGTTTCTAATTGGTTTGATTATGTTTGAGACATTTAGGCTTGCGTGTTTAAAAAGAATTGTAATTTACTTTCAGTTGTGAAAGTTAACATTTTGTAATTTTTTCGTGTCGATTTTGGTTTCGAATATAACCAATGGAAAAATGGATTTTTACCTTTAACAGGTTCCCCAACAAGGATGGGGAAACTGCAAGGACCTAATGAGGATCCTTGATGATATCTCATACGGGGATCAGGCCCGGCCCTGGGCACGTGCAGCCCGTGCGACCGCACAGGGCATCAAAGCCCAAAGGGGCATCAAAATTTTATATAGTATTAGTTTTGGTTTTGGGGTTTAATAATTTGAGAGTTAGGTTTTAATTATAAACAGAGGGCCAACTGACCAGGCCTATTAATAACAAACCCAATGACTTGAATCAGTGACAATAGGATAGACGCATCACATTTCACAAGATGATTGGCTTTGGCGATTTGAAATTGACGATTTCTATTGTTCTTTGAGTGTTTTGAGTTTTTTGATTTTCGACAATGACGTTCCAGTTCTAGAGGAAGACAATTAACGGTGACGAGTCTAACGACTGTCCATGGGACGATGGATGGATCTTGATGATCAATCGATGCATTGCCGACTGCCCGACTATATATACTCAAATACACGATTGTTGATTAAACTATCAAATCTCAATCCTTTAAATCTAGATACAGTCGAATGCATTGTATTTCTTCAAATCTAGATTCTGGAACTGGAAATGGAACTGTGGAAGTCGATTGCATTGTTTCTGAAACCAATGTATGATTTTGTTTTTAAATTCTAACATAGTAACATTTAGTTGATTAATTTTGACATTATGCATTCATTGTATTTCCAATTGATACAATCTTGTTGGGTCACCTATTGATTTGGTGATGACCCACTGATCTGTTCCTCTACCTTAGCAACACTTAGTAGTTATTGGTTCTTTGTAAGTTGGTGTCT